TGTCTACCTCTGTCCTCTTTAGTTTCATAGCTCTTAAACACTAAGTGCTGGAAATGCCATTTAGCCATACAGAGCTAGATTGTGACCTGGTGCAAACTAACCTAATGCAAGGATGGCAATAACTGGCATTTAGAAGCAAAGAAACTATTGGGAGCAAAAGATACTTAGACAGATGTAGGAGTAAAGCTCTGCATGTAAATAATGAAATCAATGGAGCCATGCCAACTGAGCATCTGGCCTCACAAATGCCTCTTTAACCATATGTGGATCCTCTTGAACTTCTAGGACAAATCATTTCTATGGAAGGTGGACTACAGTGCATCAACTGCCTGGGACTGGAATTATTGTATCAAGGGAAAAAATCCTGAGATCCCCAGTTTAAATCCAGCCTGTTTCCATGGTCCCCAAAAGACACCCCATCATGGGAACACAAGGGGCCCATATCACAAAATTGCATGTTTGCTGACAGACACTACCATCAGAAAGGCCAGGGCTTCACCGGATATGGAGACTGAACTATATTCTGAGTTTCAAAGATGTTTCTGGAAGAAGGCTGAGAGTTTGACAGGGGTGAAAAAAAACTTAGTAAGACCAAGACCTATATTTGAATCTTCTCTGTTAGCAAAGTCCTTTATTGTCTAAGTACTTTTAATATGACACTTCACAGGAGTCCCAGCCTCTTCTTCGTTAATATTTAAAGACAGGATACACAGGTGACAGAAGAGATCTCTAAATTATTGAACAGCACACAGATGGGAGAATCCTATATTTACCTTTCCTCATGATGCACAATCAAGAAAATCATTCAGAGAAATTAAAAGACAGCATATTTTATACTGATAATAAGATTTCTTTTAAATTTAAATGACACACAGTTAAGTCGGTGCAGCTCTACTACATAATGAATGACTCTGTGAATCTAGCAGAGGAATAAACATTCCCTCAGAGCACAACTGTCCATGATGAAGGCTTTACATATTCATCTAAAGCAGTGATTTCCATCTCTTTAAGCTTAAGAGACTCCTCCGTATTCAAGGCCCTCAAAAAATGCCAGCTCCGAGCTTTCACCCTTTTTTTGACTACAGAAAAGCAATAGAGCAATTATTTTGCTGAAAAGATCTCTGAAAGATGACAACGGGGCAGAATGCTTTTAATGCTATGAATTTCCATTTGAAATCTGGGGGTTTATCTTTTGAATCATGTTTGAGCACCTAATAGTGCTACTGTTGTGTGGCACCCCATGACACCCTAGAAAGGATCTTCAGCCATCCCAGGATGCAACAGCACCCTGATTAAGAATTGCTGGTCTAACCAGTGCGACCTTGCCCACTACCACAGCACACTACAGGACAAGGTAGACAATTGGTCTGATCCTATATGACAGCTGCAATGCTCCTGTTGCACACATTTCTGGTTTGTTCCCAATTTCAGATGTATGTATTTAAACTCTACTATAAATAATGCCTCCCAATACATTTGTCAAAAAATGCTGTTCCTAGGAGCTCCAAGCCATTGTATGCCGCATGAGCAGTTCAAAGTGGCCTCAAACCAGAGGATTTAGGAGATGGAGTTCCTCTGCACAGGGGAAAATCTGATAGAAGAGGCACACTTCTGCTGTTTCTTGCACCACATACTCCTGACAAAATTCAGGCAAGGGGAAAGGTGAAGGTTTGCCAAGGGTCTGGGCTGGGTTGAACAGAAATAGCTGTGTGGTGAAATGGAGCTCTGCCATGGCCAATCCCTCACTGGCATATGGTTCCTAAGGGATTTTACATCTGGGACATGTTAGAGCTATTCCTGTGCAGCCTGAACTTGTGTCAGATTCCCTACAGCCTCTGCTTTTTGACCTCTGAATGCAGCTGGGATGTAGGAGAGAATCATAATATTCAAATTAATTTTCTTCAGAGAATATTTACATATAGAATAGAGTGTAAAAAAATTCGTATTCATGAATGAATATGCATAACCGAGGTGTTTCAATACTAGCAGTACGACTAAGATGGAGCAACTGACCCAGCCGCTTCAGGAACTGACTTCGGGGGGGGGAGGGGGGCAGCGGGGGAGGACGCTGGAGGATGGGAGTGTGGAAATATTAAATCTCAAATATACAAATTCTGCTAGTAATATGGCAACAGCTGGAAGTCACGGTTGCCCCAGACACCAAGCTGCTTTGTTACACTTCTGTTCAATACCCACCCGTGACTCCATAGGTATCTGGATTCTCCAGCCATCACCAACAAACTACGACGAGGCAGCATAACCGCAACTGTACAGCCATCTGGGTGCTTAAAATCCATCACTATCTAAGGACAAAAACAATTTTTTTTTTTAATAACCATCATCACTTACATATCCCTATAAGTGTGCATGTCATTGTAGAGACAAGGCCAGATCATCAGCAAGCGTTACCTGATCTATTACCATAGAACATCTACCTCCTTCCTCAGGCAGCAAGGGCCTCCAGGTCTTCCCATGCATTCTTAAGACCTTCATATACTTACAGCATTTCTAACTTCAAGCATTCAAAATGTAAGATATTCCCTCCCCCCCGAAGGACATCTGCTTTAAAAAAAAAAAATCACAAAACTTTAAGAATGGAAAGTTTCAGATCCTATTCATCTGTTGTAGTTATATAGTAAAATACACCTTCAACTAGGGAATAGAGCATCTCAAAATCCTTTGTGTTTACCTTCACAACATCTCTATGAGGTAGTTTATCCCTCTTTCAGACAAAGAACTGAAGCATGGAGAAATTAAAGACCACATCCACAAAGAACTTTCACCATCTAGTCCTATTTTGGTTCCCTTTGACTTCAGAGGGACTTGGGTTAGGCACCATAACTCTGTGAATTTTGACCTAAGAGCCACATCTAAAAACAAAATTTATTTATACACCCAAGTTTCAATTTCAGCAGAATTTAAGCATCTGAAGTCCAAGTGGATGAACTGTAAACCCGTGATCTAACTACTTAGGCACCTGAGAGACCACAGGCACCTAAGTTTTCTGGCAAAAGCTTACTCAGGTGCATCCATTCAGCTATTGTGCATTCTCAGAAGAGCTACAATCTGATCCAAGTATCATCTAAGGCTGCTTGGACAAAGTTCTTGCACTTAAGTCCCTTGGGGTGCCTCTACCAGTCCCTGAAACATGCCCAATGCAAACTGACAGCATTGAGTTTGCCACCAAGGCAATGTTTATCCAAACTGTGGTGAGAAGAGGTGACGGTGATGGGCTTGTGCATAATAAGATAAGGGCCTCTCAGTGTGAGAGGATTCAAACTCCTATCTCCCTCCTCCCAAGACAGTGCTCTGTCCCACAGGCAGAATGCTCTCAGCCCAGATTGCTTTCTCCATCCTTTCCTGTTGAAGCTGGGCCACAGTGCAGAAGAAAATGCAAAAGTCATACACCCAGAGAGAGTGAGCAAGTGAGGGCACGACTAGTTCTGTGATGAGGGCACTGCTTTAACAGAAGGGAGCCCTGGGCTCTTATCTGTGCTTTCACTTCTATCTATGCATTTTACGTAATAGCTCTGTAATGCAAAATACTTAATGGAAGATCACAATGGAAGATCAGGAGATCAAGTATCATGAGATGTGCAATAAAAATCACAGGAGTTGGCAATGCTACGTTGCATCCTGGGCTGCCTATACCCTGAGTTTATTGTTAAAAATTTCCCCAACTGGCAAAAGTGCTGCTATGGAAGACAGCAAATAGCATTTAAGGAATTTAGGGGACTAAAGGAAGAGGTTAATTGAAAACAAGCTAGTCAGAATCTATTAAAAAGGTCAGTATCTCCATTTATGCTGAAGCACCATGCACTAAACAGTGCTGCCATCTGATTTGCAAAGTATGAAGAACACAAGTTTAAAAAGGAGATTTAATCCAAACAAAATTAACCAGTGCCCAGCCTATCTATACAGAGATGTTTAGCAAACAATGGTGCAAATGGTCAGCATTTAAAACAAAGAGGGAGACTGTCATACAAAAAGCTCAGTTTCCAAGGCCACAAATTAACCATTACAATATCTATTGCTTTCATTAAATCAGTCTTTCACCAGTATATACTGGAACAATCTACAACAACATTTATACTTTAGGAAACATGTCTTATTTATTATTTATACTGTGATACCACCCACATACAATGACACATCCCCTTCACCTGCAGAGCTGACCATCTAATATAAAGACAAGAAATGACCAAAAACAAGATTGAAATGGGTAGAGAGAGCAATAGGAATAAGTGCATATGATTTTTACACAGGTGCCTACATACAGTGGTTCACCTTCCAAAGCAACAGAATACACTGTAGAAACAACAAAGCAAGTGCCAGGAATTCCTACTTGCCCTATCCCTTACACTTCACAATTGACTATTTCTTGAACACAATGGGAGGTATGCATTTTGAGAAGGTAATTTCATAGCTTTGCATATCAGCTTGCAGAGTCTGTCCAATGCCTCTGGATTCCCACTTCAGGGCCTTGTCTGAAGCAGCTGGAATCAGCTCTTTCCAATTCTTCACTGTTCTCCTGGCCTGCTTCCTATCTCACCTCTGTCTCATGGGTTGTTCTTCCTATTCACATTTGTTAGTAGCCTTGGACTTTTTCAAGGAGCTTAGGCCAGGCTGCAGGAGTGTGGTTAAAGCAGAAGACCCAAAGACTATTTGTGTGTGATTGCAGAGCAGACCTTTGCAGATATAACTGGACTGGTCAACAAGGTAAAGAAAGAAATTAGTCTGTCCAGCTAAACAATGTGAAAGACCTGAGGGGAGACCTTATACAAGAAGGTCTTTAGATAGATAATAAAAAATAGTATATTATAGCTTTAACTGAAAAATGTTAGTAGTAGCAACTGATGCAACTAAATGTGTGGATATAAATTTGCTATTACAGATACATGTGTGTTAAATTCTTTAGATAAATTGTAAAACAAAAGCAGCCTTGCTAGCAAGACCATAAACCAAAGTAAAAACAAGACAGGATGGTGGCAAGTGACATTTCAAACTGGTGAAAGGAGGAAATAAGAAATCCTCCCTACCAAAAAGTTGCAAAGGACATAAACCCCATCTAACTGATACCTTCTAAAGCCACAGAAAAACTGGTTCAGTTTGCTTCCCAAAGTCTCAGTAACTGTATGACAGAGTAAGCAACATATAAAAATGGGGTATATGAACTGAAGAGAAAACGAGAGAATCAGCATATCCAAGATCTGATGCCAGTTTGTGTGAGACTCCCCAGGTAGCACAGGTGAGGCTCTACACTGTGCTCTTTGGTAATGAGGCACGCACTGGAGTATTTACTTTTGACTCTGGTGAGCATAAACAACAAAAAGCCAGGCTGTAGACCCAACTTTTGCCTCTTTTAACAACAGCAAACATACTAAATGCATGTAATCCAGATAGCACATCTCATGTTCTGCTTCCCCCAAAAGCTCCCAAAGCCTTATTTTCCAGTTGTTGAAGGGCCCATGATAAACTTTAGCTGATCAATCTCTCTATTAGCCCTCAGCAGTTGGGAAAGCCATGCCACATGGCACGTTGAGAACGACAGAGAACACCAACGTTCCTGGTAACCATGTTTTGACTTAACTGCAAGGAATAATGCAGGACCTGGGGATTGCAAAGGAAGAGATAGGCAGGGGAGAAGAGCATGAAAACCTGGAGGAAATTTTATCTGTGTTGTTAAAAGAGCCAAGGCTATATCTGAGGATCAGATACATACAGTTGTATATGGTCTATACTAAAGTTGTACTGTTGGGGGAA